CCTGAGAGAGACGCCATGCCCCGCTCCCGGGATGAAGCTCCGACCCAGGATGGACATAGGCTAGAATCTTCCTGGTAAGCGCACCTTGGGGTACCATACACAGATGATTAGAAATGGGCTAAATTAATATGTGAGAATTAGCCTAGAAGAGAATGGGCCAAGCAGTGTTTAAATGAATACAGTTTGTGTGTTGTTATTTCGGGCATAAGCTAGCCGTGCAGGCGGCTGGGGTGCTGGGGACGCAGCCCCGCCGCCCTTATTTCTACAGTTCTCAGTGAAAGGTTCCAAAAACAAGAAACCTTGTCTACTTAATGCCCCCCCCCCATAAAGAGTTATTTTAAATTATGTGTGTTTCTGTCTATGTGTGGGCATGTGTCGTGAATTCTGGAGTTTCAGAGTCCAGAAGAGGGAAAGAGGAAACCATGCAGCTGGAGTTACCTGGGCAGTAAGAAGCCCTGCCCCAGGTCTTGTGCTGGAATCTGATCCTCAGCAAGAGCCGCAAGTACTTTTAACCTGTGGGCTGGTCATCTCTTCTGCTCCGTCCATGACTGAATCTTTTCATTTTTATTTCTTTAGTGAGTTTGCACCCACCTTTGCCTGCACCCATGGCACATGACTTAAATCCAGAGGATAACTTGCATGAGTTAATGCTCTACGTCCACCGTGTCAGTTCCAGGTATCAAACCCAGGTCATTAAGTTTGGTGGCAGGTATCATTTTCTGCTGAGCCATCTCAATGACCCAAATACCCAGATACTTTTTGTGAAGGACTTACTGGCATTCCTCTTTTCTAGAGAAGCCCTACCACCACCCCAGGCCGGTTTACTGAGACAGGGTTTGGATGTGTACCCAGAATGGCTTTAGACTCACTATCTATGACACCAGGTTGGTGTCAGACGAGACTTCCTTTTCCCCATGCTTTCTGAATGCTGAAATTATAGGAATGTGCCATCATCCCCGCCTTTACTGTTTTGGGATTTTGTTGTCTTTGGCAATAGAAGAGGTTCCTAGGGTTTTCGTTCTCTCCCTCACCCCCAAAACTGGGTGGAGTGCCAGGGCGCGTGTGGGGAAATGAGAGGACTTGCAAGGAATCAGGTCTCTCCCTCCACCATATAGGTCCCAGGGATGAAACGCAGACAGTTGGGCCTGCCAGCAGGCGCCTTACCATATTACCAGACCGCCTTTGCCTTTCTTATCACAACTTTCCCACTATCACAACAGGCTAAGGATTCTGTATTTTTCCACACCTCCAACTGCTCCTCAGTGTTCAGTGATGTCATAAGTGACTATAGCTTTACTCTGCTGCCCCCTAGCGTGTGAGCTGCGTAGAGGCAGGTCAGTGCTGTCTGCTCTGGTACCCAAGCAGAGGCTTCAGGTTTTGCTAGGGAGAAGACGCCCTGGTCCTTTCTTCAGTCTTTGATCATTAGGCAAATGAAGTGCAGGGAAGCAAGCCCCCCTTCACGCACTAGATTTCTGAAAACTGATGACTTTTCTTTTTGTCTACCTTAATGCTTGGGAGGATGGGAGGCGGCTTTTCTGAGAGACCGAAGGCTTAGTATCTACAGAATGCCTTTCAACTTGGGAAATTGGGAAAATGTGCACATAACAGGAGTAAATGAGAGGAGCAGCAGAGCTGCTTTTGTTCCATAATTAAAACTTACCTGGACTTTGCTTTGTGGGATGCCATTTTGTATTTTCCCCTTCCCTCTACGGTCTGGTTCTCAGTTCATCTGATTAGCCCAGTCAGTACTAATTAAAGGGAAAGCAGAGCCGGCCTGCTGAGACCCACCCTGCCCCACTGGAATTTCAGGGCCAGAAGGAAGCAAGGGGTGTGGTGGTCCACTGAGGAAGGCTTAGTGGCACCATGGCATTTCTCTGAGCCTCCCAAATTATCCACTTGGGAGGGAGCGACCCATTTCCTGAAGCAAACTGTGGTGAGCCATGCCCTCAACTGATGGGATCAGATCATGGAGCCATGGAACATTTCTTTGAATTTTATTGAAAATTGACATGGACATTAGAAAGATAATGAGCTAAACAGTGCTGGTTCTGGGATGTATCTTGTGGAAAATGAAAGCCCCAGAAGGGCAGTGACTGGTCACACCTTTGAGCCAAAAGAACCACAGAGAAGAAAGGAAAACAAACACAGCTTCTGGAAAACATGCAAAGAGGCTCTCTCAAGAGACGGACAGCAGAGTGTTCGTGTTTGTGGGATGGCTACATGGGAAGGAGCACACTCACGTGGTATTCGGATATTAAGCAAAGCCAATGAATTGAAGGCAGATTTACCAACATCAAAGCTCTCCTTCCAGATACCAAGTTGAGCAGAAACCTCTTGCAAAGCCCCTAAAGCCCCGTGGAAGTTTGCGTGGAGAAGCTTTGTTCTCACTAAGCTTAAACCCTCGTCAGTCAGTTTTTCTCCAGCGGAATGTTAATGCTCCATGCCTCCCCCTCGCTGGGGGCTACAGAAGGTCTGCGAATGCTGAAGATGCAACTGTCACTCAACTTTCTCGTCCATATTCAGAATCAGCCTGATAGTGGCTAAAGACTGTCAACCCATTGAACCAGAGAGTTGTTTTTAAAAAACAAACAGAAAACTCAAAACCTTGTGAACAGCACTTCCACACCCACAGCTGAGTTCTCCTGCCCCAATCACTTAACACCTGGGTGAGTGGTTCTGTCGTCGGCTCTCTGAGGTTACATTTGGTCCAATTCCAGCTCTGATGATTCTTTTCCTGCCTTGTGAGTTTAGGACAAGACACTTCCATGTAAAACACCATGTAAGTCAGAAGAGAGCTTCTTGCCTGGACACAGGGACACATGTACACTCGAGTGTGGTGTTATGTGCACAGTTGCAGGGGAGGGGAACTGGTTGGTTTCTTGCTTGAGACAATATGGAGCCCTAACTAACTCTTCTATAATGGCAGTCTTCTCCTTTAGACTTAGTACAGCTGCTGAAGAGAAGGTTAAAAAAAGCTGGAGAGGGAGAGAGAAAGAGAGAGAAAACACAAAATTAGCTGAAGAGAAAGGACATATAAAGCGGCATGCAAGGGGAGCGGGCGGTGGAAGGTAGCGTAGATTAAATGCCAAGAAGACAGGAACAGGTCACGGAGCGACCATCACCATGGAGAAATCTGTTGAGAAGGTTTGAAGAACACCACACACCAGTTTAATGAGTCTTGCTTTAATTAAAAAAATAAGCACATATTAACAGCCACATGTGAATGCCAAGTGAGTTTTTAAAAAAGACCCAAACTAGGTGGGGAAACCAGACTTGTTGGCTTCAGAGAAATGAATGGTGTGTGTGTGTGTGTGTGTGTGTGTGTGTGTGTGTGTTTCAGGGAAGCCATTCCATTCTAGTCTAGAAAAACAAGAGCACAGATCACATTTAATGGATTTTGTTTCACTAGAAGGAAACAGATTTTTGAGTATTTTTAAAGAATAGTAACAACCGTACTGATTCAAAAGATGTTCAATGCCGGACAGTGGTGGCATACGTCTTTAATCCCAGCACAGAGACAGGCGGATCTCTGTGAGTTCAAGGTCAGCCTGGTGTACAAGAGCTAGTTCCAGGATAGCCAGGGCTACACAGAGGAACCCTGTCTCACACACAAAAAAGATGTTCAAGTGAAGAAAAACAAAAACCTTCCCATTTACAGCGAGAAGAGCTTCTCAGTGAAATTTAGCATCATCTCAACTTCTTTAATGAGTCTGATTGCTTTTTATTTCCACCAAAGTTCCCTGATTACAAGAAGCCACATAGTGTACCGGTGAAATGGACACTGGCCTGATCCTGGTTCAGATTTATAGGAAAGCTAACTGACCATCAGGCATCATGGTAGCTGGCCTGAAGCCTTCTCTCCACCTGCCCCTATCCATCCTATCCTATTCCTCTAACAATGACTGAGTTCTCTGAACATAAAAAAAAATGTCTTCAGGAACATACATAAATACTTGGGTCCCTTTGGTGAAATGGATTGGGAACCCAGAGACAAAATTTTGCTTGGACTTTGCCAAGAAATAGCAGTGGAACCTCAGATAAGTGCCTTCATTTCTTTACATGTCAATATCCTCGTAGGGGTTACATCATTCATGCTGGCCAAAAAGTTCCCACCTTATTACAATTCCTCCTTGCTTTTGAAAAGTGGTCTAGCTCAAATACTTGCAAAGTATTTTGAAATCCTCAAGCCTCAAGTAGTGAATTTATATACAATTGCAAAGGAGAGGCCTCATTTCCGGGAAGGTGAATTAAGATGCCTAAAACAGCTGGGTCTGCACGTAGCTGGTGTTTGCCTTTAAATACAGGCAGACAGATCTCTGTGAATTTGAGGGCCAGCCTAATCTACGCTGTGATGCCAGGGCTACATAGTAAGAACCTGTCTTAAAAACAAAAACCCCACAGAACTGCATGGCTACAAATAAGAGGTCTTTCTCAAGGAGACTCAGTTAACTCAGTAGCCTGACTCCCCCGACTACTGACTGTGTAACCAAAGGTATTTGGGGATTCTGCTTTGGGCTTTCTGTTTTGGTGGTGGTGCCTTGTTCTGTTTTACATCTAGGCATAGGGTTACCTGAATTTCTCCACTTCCAGTTGGTTTTTCCCAAGAAATTAGCTCATGCTTTTCCATTGTCACCCTGTTCTTGCCTCTGGCCACAGGCCAGTACATATCAACATCGCCTCTCTTTGACCACAAAACAGAGAAAGTGTGCACACTGACTTGTTCGCTTTCAACTAGTTCTGCTCTGGGCTTAGTCTTGGCTTCCGGGTGTTAACTGTGATTGTAGAGAATGGCTCTGCCCTTTTGCAACAGTTCCGAAAGCCTGTAAATGTATTATCACCTTGCGTGTTTTAGAGGTAGTGATTATACAACCACCTTTAAAATATGAAAAAAGAAGAAGGTCATGGTCCACGCCAGTCGGACTGGGAGGCAGAAGCAAGTTGCAGAACTCAAAAAAAAAAAAAAAGAGCGAGAGAGAAGCTTTAAGTACCAGAGCAGGGGTGGAGGGCCCAGCTGTCTGGCACCATTAAAAAAAGTTGTCAGTTAAAATAAGAACCTTCTCTTAAAAGGCTAAGTGGAGTCCAGTCCAGCTGTAGCAGGGCATACTATTCAGTACACAGCCATGGATTACTGCAAAGGAAGGGCAGAGAGACGCCATATTAGCCACAGATCATTGCCAGGTCGCCTCTAGCTGTTGCTCTGTCACTAGTCAAACATCAAAAGCCATACTGTGCCTCATAGCCCTGACAGTGGAAGGCTCTGTACTTCAAAGGGTTTCCAAAAGCCAGAATCAGATGGGACCCATTATAAAACTTAAGACTAGGGTATTTTTAAAATATCAAATCCTTAGACCGAAGTAAATGCCAAGCAACAGCATCTCTTCTTTCCTCCAGCTAATGGTCTCTCCTCTTTGAAGTGGCACGGGTGTAAATGCAGATTCAACCCATCATTACAATCATCAGGTAGACTAGCATACTCATCCAGGCGAGCCCCAAGCCTAGCTTCTTGAAGCAACTCACCAGTTTACAAACTGGGATTATTATTATTGCTAGTCCACCTCATTGGGATGGCAAGAAATGACCAATGCCATGCTGAAATCCCCAAGGAGAATTCTATAAGTCTATCATTCAAGTCTCTAGGCTGGTAATAATATGCTAGTTTATTTTCCCTTCTTTATCTATGGGGTGTCCAGAATTAGAGGGGAAATATACACTGTCTTGCCCAGAAAATTGTGTTTTATAGAAAGGGCTTGGTGCAAAGAAACGTGTGCTGACTTTTAATACAGGTGACTCTGAGTGAATGGAATTGGGAAAGGGCTGGGCTAAGATGGTAGAAGAAATAGGTATCACTGGTAATTCTTTTGAAGCCTATGAGAAGAGGTTATAGTTCCTTAGATTAGAGGAATGGGAGGACAATCCCATTGACTAGGATGCAGGAGTGTAAGGGGAAAGCTCTGAGCCTTGACTGGTACTTATCCAGCCAGGGTAGATGGAAATACCTCAAGGAAACAAATAGTGGTCAAATTCAAATGAGGAAGAGTAGCAAATAGCAACTCCTGAACATGTGATAGTCTGGCAAAGATAGGGATGGAGAAGTAGGGGCACATACGGTTGGGGTGCTAGGACAGGGACTAAGGTATGGAATGTGACTCCAAGCTATGTCGTTGCTGGCTTCTTGGTCAGAGGCCAGGCATCATCATTTGACTCGCAGGAAGAGAGGGGAGGGCATGGGTTGTATGCCCCCTAAACATGGTAAGGGGGAAATAAGAGAGGGAGGCCCAGTTCTGTTGCACAGGAAAGGGTGCGTCTACAGGAAGCCCAAACTGAAAATGAAAAGAGAAGGGGGGTTAATGAATGGATGGATGGATGTATCCCTTAAAAAAAGCCAGAAAGAAATTAAGTCATAACTAATAGCTAAAGTAGAATAGCTATGTTAGATGGTCTTAAAAGTCTTATGCACTGGCTTCTGGGAACATGCTTTCTCATATTAATGGCAGCAGTGGTGACATTAAAAAAGCAAAATAAAGACCAAATCCCACACAAATAATTTTTAAAATCTGTTCTTGACATACAATCCCACATACACACATCCAGATAACCTTGTCCATGTATACCAAGTCTCTAGTGACCTTAGGCTACCAGACACAGCACCAGGCTCACAGCCCTCTTGTCCCAAAGGACAAGAAAAAACTGAGGTTTCAACTTTGGCATCCTTCGTAGCAAGTTTAGCTGGCTAACTGCAACCCTAAGCCAATACCTGTTTGTCAAGTGTGTGATGGGTGGGGTTCCAACCAGTGACCTGTAAACCTGAGCTACAGAAGCCCACTGGTTTGTGTTCATGTCGTACTTTGACCTATCTCCTGCTGGGATTTCATTTCTGTGATATAAGTATATTAAGTCATATTGGTCCCTGTGTCACATATGAAGAGACTGACTGATATGCCTGTAGTCATAAAGTATTATATCCATGATAAGAGATATCTAACCAAGACTCTCCTGTTACTGGGAGAGTCTTAATGGTCTCTGAGAATTTCTTTGCTTTGTTTCAAAATTCTTGTTTATGACCTGAAAATGAGATTTCTTTTATAGTTTAGATGTGGTGTGTGCTTCAAAGACTCATGTATTAAAGGCTTCCTTGTCAGCTAAGGGGTTTTGAGGAAGCAACTAGAGTCTGAGGGCTCTGATTTAACAGAATAATCCTGTTGAAAGATTCATAGTATTACAGGCGGCCCTGTTGGAAGAAGTAGGTCACCGGAACAAGTCCTGTGATGCTGTATCTTGTCCCTGCCTCATTTCTCTGCTTCCTGGCTGGCACGAAGTGAGAAGCTCTGCTTCCGTACACCCCTCTACCACGATGCTCTGCCGAGATCTTTGCCACACCAATGAGGCCAAGTGATCATAAACAGAACCAAATTTCCTTCCTTAAGTTGATTTTCTCGGGGATTTTTGGAAAAACAGACACAACAGTCATCCCATTAAATCAGTGCTATTTGCGGGGAGTGGAATTAGACAAACATGCATATATGAGAATATGCAATCAACTGTTCACAGTGAATGTCCTGCTCTCCCATGTAGAGAAGCCTCCTTCAGCCTGCCTTCCAGGTGGCTTTTCTGATCAACCCCCCAAGTGAAGGTTTTGGGAAGGAGGCACATCCTTTGCTGCTTGCAGATCCTAGGCAGCTAAGGCCCTCCCAGCTCAAATGATCTATAACTGCTTTTGCAGTCGACTACACAGAAGCTTGGGGTTGAAATCGGCTGCTCCAGCTGTTTATCGTCTCTCACTTCTAAGGCGTGACTTTAATGATAGTTTTCCAGGGTCTATTTTAAGGATGGCTACTAACAAAGACATACCCAGGGAACTCTGAGTGAAAATCACTCAGTGTGCAATGAAATCTGAATTAGTCAAAATGGAATTCACCAGAATACATCTTTCCTGCTCTCATTGAAAATGGTAGAACAGGGGCTGGAGAGATGGCTTGGTGGTTAAGAGCACTGACTACTCTTCCAGAGGAGTGGGGTTCAATTCCCAGTACCTACATGTCAGCTCACAACTGTCTGTAAATCCAGTTCCTGGGGATCTGAGACCTTCACACCAATGCACATAAAATAAAGTTAAATAAAACATAAACAATTCTTTAAAAATTTTTAAAAAAGAAAATGGTAGAACAAAGAAACTCCATATGAACTGAGCTCCTACTATGCGTCAGACACTTGACAAGGCACCTGAACTATGGTAGTGAGCAAATACTCTAGGAATTTAGTCTCCCTAAATAGAAAGCTGCCATTTGATGCTGGCACCCTAGCAGGGGCCCCAGGGCTTGTTTTTAAAGCAGGTTGTAAATCATTGCTTTGTTCTTCTAGGATGCATTTGTTTGACTCAGTTCCCTGGGCTTTCTGTTTCAGAAGCCTGGATGGACTTCCTTGCTGGGATTTGCTTGAAAGGAGAGTTTCTTTGCCAGCTGCCTGAGGTTTGTAGTGCAATGACTGCAACCTGTTGGTTTGATGACTAACAGCAGGCTCTCCATATAAACCACCGCATGGCTGAGCCAGGGGACATCTCAATACTTTAGTCCCCAACCCAAACAAACCAAAAGTAAGAAAGGCAATTTATGAGACCACTGGGGTACTTTCACCACCAACTAGATGTTTTATGTTGGCAAATTATTGCTAATTTTATAGGTGTGATAATGATAGCTGTGTTTATTTTAAAGCATCATTATCTCCTAGAAATACATACTATGTATTTTACACATAAAATGATACAACTTTTGCCTTACAATAATTCAGCATGCCTGGGTAATTGAGGAAGCAGGATTAGCTGTATGTCAATGATTCTTTGATGGCCAGGCTCCAGGAATATGGGGCTGAATTGTACTATCACCTCTTTTCTCTCTACATTTGAAAGTTCCCGTGTCAGAGTTAAAAAGAAATCTAAGTTCGCTGTTAAAAATATTTCTATTCAATTTCATCCCACTTCCTGTTCAATTTCACCCCACTTCCTGGTTTTGGTAGCGTATACAAAAGGTGCTTATTCACTGCTTTCTTTTATCCTATAATGACTGCTTTCATTTTCTTTAAAATCTGTGTGATAGCATGGACTGTTCTACTTCTGTAGACACAACCACTAGCCCTTAGAGATTCTTACAAAGAATTACCTGCTAATTCTTTAGCAGAGGTTTTCATGAAGCTTGTTCTTACAGTCTTACAGAATTAATTTTTAAAAGATTTATAGGAGACCGGGGTTCGATTCCCCGACGGGGTCCAAAAAAAAAAAGAAGATTTATATTTAGTGTGTATATGTGTGTGTGTGTGAGAAAGGTGTATGTGTGTGTGTATGTGAGAGAGAGAGGTGTGTGTGAGAGAGAGAGGTGTGTGTATGTGTGTATGTGTGTGTGTGTGTGTGTGAGAGAGAGAGAGAGAGAGAGGTGTGAGAGAGAGGTGTGTGTGTATGTGAGAGAGAGAGGTGTGTGTGTGTGTGAGAGAGAGAGAGGTGTGTGTGTGTGTGTGAGAGAGAGAGAGAGAGAGAGAGAGAGAGAGAGAGAGAGAGGTGTGTGTGTGAGAGAGGTGTGTGTGTGTGTGTGTGTGAGAGAGAGAGAGGTGTGAGAGAGAGGTGTGTGTGTGTGTGTGTGTGTGTGTGAGAGAGAGAGAGAGAGAGAGAGAGAGAGAGAGAGACAGAGAGAGAGGTGTGTGTGAGTGTGTGTGCTCATGCAGGTGTCCACAAAGGCCAGAAGAGGTTGTCAGATCCCTTGGAGCTAGAGTTACAGGCAATTGTGGGCCGCCTAATGTGCAGGTATTGGGAGGCAAACTCAGCTCATTTGGAAGAGCAGCAAAGTGTTCTTAACCGCCTGAGCCATTTCTCCAGACCCAGAATTAAAGTTTTAAATTAATTTCTTAGTACCGTTTATGGACACAAGTGCCATGGTGTAGAGTGACTGGAGGAGAACTTTTATGGAGTTGTTTCTCTTCTTACACCTTTCTATGGATTCTAGGGATTAAACGCAAACTGCGAGACTTCAGCGGCTTTCTGGGAAAGGTAAATGCTGCCATGAAGCCTGCCAAACCACCTCACCTGTTCTACAGCACTAAATGTAAGGATTTCCCTATAGTATCTGAGGTCTCTTCACTATCTTCCATTTTGGTTATATTTTGGAGGGTGGGGCATGCAATAAAAAGAAGTTGGAGAACTTGAACCCCTCAGATAAGGAACAGTTACTAGAGGGTGACAGAGAAGCAATTTCTCTTTGCACATTCTTGTATCTGGGGTGTGTGTGGGGGGTAGTCAGTATTGACTGTGATATGGCAGGCAAGGGACCGTGAACCCAGCAGATTCCTGCATCATCAAACTTCATTTTGAAAGTCATGATTATGGCTATGTGTGAAAACAGTGTCTGAGCTGAAACTTTACATGCTGGTCAGATGATCTCTCTCCTATGCTACACAACTGTTCCAGCAACAGAAGTGTGCAAATGCCGTCACACACACATACATCTAATCAAGCAGGCAGGCAGGCAGGCACTCCAGATGTAACAAGCCCACTTAAAACCACGACAGATTACAACTTTATACGGGAAATCTTGGGAGGAAAGTAGCAGGTCGAATGAAGCTATTTCTTTCATGGTTAACTATATGTATCACAAGTGTGGGGTTTGGGGAGGTATGTTCTAGAAGCCACTGGCAGTTCTATTTAGAGTTAATAAAGCTTACCAGGACCCTGGGTCTCATGCAGCATGCAGCAAACAGCAGAGTTAACTGTAAAACAGTAAGAGCTGATGAAGGTGGAGTGAGCACGAGGAGAAATGCAATATTAAGAATTGATACAAATAATGAAGTGTTAGAGGCCAAAGGATTAGGAGAAATGGGGAAGGGAACAGGGAAGTGTGGCTTGGTAGACACCCCTAAAACACTACTACTCTTTCTTAGTCTCTTTAGGGGCATCCAGAGGAAATTCTAAAGCTGGGGCTTGATCAGATTCACCCACAGTCTGTCTAAAAAAAAAATTACTACAACAATTTATACCCTTCACCAAACCATCGCCAGCAAAAGCGCCATGGGAGCAGAGCAGCATAAACTTAGTGGCACAGCCTCTCTCCAAGTTCACCAAGATGCTCACAGAGATGCAGAAGGAGCCCAGACCTAGGGCCACTCACAGTATGGATGGGGATGGGCTATTGTGCCAGCTCTGAATGCTAGTGTAAGGTGCCACATCCCAGCAAGGTTTTCACCCATCTCAGAACTGGAAAGGGGCACTGGCACCAATCCCAGATATTTCTGGAGAGTGGGGAGAGAAAGACTCATCCAGTCTTCTGCATGAGATGGGAGGAAGTCAGTTTGGGGAAAAGTCTGCTCTGGGAAGAGCTTACACTGAGCATCTTGAAGGGACTGGATACAGCAGTGGTTCTCAACCTGTGAGTTCCCAACTCCCTTGTGGGTCAAATGACCCTTTCACAGGGGTCACCTAAGACCATCAGAAAACACAAAATTACGGTCATGAAGTAGTAACAAAAATAATGTTATGGTTAGGGGTTACCACAACATGAGGAACTGTATTTAAACGCTGCAACATTAGGAAGGTTGAGAACCACTGACCTACAACACCAGTGCATCCTAAACAAATCAGGTGATGACAAATTGTTTACTTTGTTTCTTTACTTTTGGATTTTTGAGATGGGGCTTCTCTGTGTAACAGTCCTAGCTGTCCTGAAATTTGCTCTATAGACCCAGCTGACCTCAAACTCAAGTACCGGGATCAAAGGCGTGTGCCACCACCACCCAGTGCCAAATAAATTTTAAAAAGGAAAATGTGTATCATTTTCTGTTATTATAACTGATATGCCATGACTGATAAGTTAATAGATGATGCATCCACAGAGGTTTTCCATCTGCCTAGTTGAACCTTAGTGAATTTGATATGTAGCTATAAGATTCTGTTCTGGGGGTGGGGGAGGCATGGTGGGTGGATCTCTGTGAGTTCTAGGCCAGAGTGGTCTACAGAACTAGTTCCAGGATAGCCAGGGCTACACACACACACACACAAAAAAAAAAAAAAACAAAAAAAAAAACCCTGTCTCAAGACCCCACCCCCACCCCAAGAAAAAGATTCTATTCTTAAAAAAAATATCTCTGGACCAAGTTGATGAAAATATTCAAATTACATAATAGGTAGTCAAATTGGATAATCAGGATCACAAAACTCAGTGCCGTGAAATATAAAATAGTCTACATTCATGGTGTGATCCTAAGTGAGAAGCCAGGCACAGAGGCAAAAAGATACTTCTTTCCTTCTGGAAAGTATCCAATGGCTGACTCAAATCAGTGGCCCCAAATCAAAGGTCATGAGCATGGGCATCTCTGGGATGTTAAAGGTCCTTTAGTAAGGATGTTGTTAAATACTTCATCCCGGAATCCCCCGAGTCCCACTGCACAAACAGGCACAGAGCACAAGGGAACCTCTGCATGTTTGCTTGCCAGAACTCTTTCCTCCTCTCTGGCTCTGAAATGAGGAATGGGGTATTTCTGCAAGCAGAGACTGGGGTAGGGTCAGGACTATTAACCTACCAAACACTTGGAGAAACAATGGCTTCTGAACCATTCCCCAAGCTTGAAAATGGCCTATGCAGAGGACACTGGCATCTGAAGCCCCCCTCCCCCCCCACTAAGTTCTTAGTACCCCGGGCTGGGCATACCTAAGCAGCCAGCAGGAAGAGGTATAGCAAAAGGATGGAGGATGGGAGACAGGGTGCAGCCTTCAGTGGCAGCATTTACCTTTCACAGGGTGCAGCTAGAACAGAGGCAGAGTAAGATTGTAGGCCCCTCCCCTCAGATGTGGGAGGAGTAAGCAGACCTGTATGCTGCATGATACTGAAAGTCTAGAGCAGCTGTGACCCTTTAACAGTTCCTGTTGTTGTGCTGACCCCAACCATAACATTTTTGTTGTTACTTCATAACTGTAATTTTGCTACTGTTATGAATCATAATGTAAATATCTGTTTTCCGATGGTCTTGGGCCACGCCTGTGAATGGGTGACTTGACCTCCAGAGGGGTCTTGACCCACAGGTTGCAAACCGCTGGTCTAGGATCTGGGGAAGTGCATAGAGCTTCTACTAAAAGATCCTGGTCTGTCCATCCTTTTGTTCCTCTCTTTATCCCTCTACATCTCTCACAATTTGTTCCCTACTTCCTAGCCCCTCTTCCCTTACTATCCGCCCTGAGTTTGCAGAGCTTTCCCAGATGGGCCAAAGGGCAAAGCTAGACTTCTGGGAGTGCTCTCCTTCTCTCAGCAACTCAGACTCGGGCACCATGAAGACAGTGAACTAACTACATGAGTCTAACTGCAGCCTGCAGTGCACACCTGCCCACCAGCCCCCTTGGCCTCTAAGTCCTGAAAGGTGGTGGATGGAGTTGGGGGGAGGGGCTGGGCAGGAAAAGAAAGATGCCGCACACATACATACATACACGCGCCCCGCCAGCAAGCCTGCTACTTACTTCTTCTTCTCTTTATCCCTTTTCAGAGTCTGCGAGCCCCCAGCCTGAGAACCCTGAGACTGGAGCAGCTCAGCTGCTGTCTTTCTCTGTTTGAAAGCATTCACTTCATCATCCAGGGATTTCTTCTTATCCTCCAGCTTCTTCTTCTCTTCCTGGTGCAGTTTCTTCAGACGGTCAAACTTCTCATGCAGCTGGCAGAGAGGCACAGGGAAGTTAGAGGGAGTCTCCCCCATCCCCCTGCAGCAGTGAACAGTCCCCAGCCCAGCCAAGACCAGAGTGGGTGGGAACCACTGTGTCTGCAACCCGGTAGGACTCTGGAACAAGAGGAAACATTCCTGCCAGTAACAGCCATGATGGCACTAAGGATTATTGTAGATTGCTATAATTGTTCTCAGAATCTCTGCTCCTGAAATGGTCAAGGACCAATGTATTCTGTGTAAACAAAGATTTTATTTCAAAGAACCACTGTAGTTATTGGGTGTAGTTGATAATAATATGTACTTAGTTTGTTACAAGCCTAATCTAATCTAACTAATATAACTAAATCTAATATATTAAAACATTTTCATTAACACAGCACTCTATTCCTTTTCTTTTTGAGACAGGATCTTGCTGTACAGTTCAAGCTAACCTTGAACTCACAACCCTCCCGTCGTCTCTGCCTTTTGAGTACTGAGATAAAGATATAGGCCAGCATGCTTATCTTACAACACAGTTGCGGTAGGGTCTATTTTATGAGGAAACCAAAAGTCTCAGAAATGAAGGCATTTGCCCAAGGTCAACAAGTCTTTGGAGGATTCTATAATGGGATCGTCCATATGTAAAGTTCTCCTTCTGGCTAAGCCTGTACTTTAGGATCTACCTGTCTCTGCTCCCCAAGGCTGAGCTACAGGCATGTACAGCCAAACGTGGCTTCTTAGATTGTTTAGGAACTAAGACCAAGAGAAGGGAAGTGCTGGCTGATATTCCAAAACTGCACCGGAGGTCAATTATTCTGGCATTGAGATGGGAATGGGTAGAAGATGCTTGCAAGTCAAGGCCATTGCTTGAAAGAATAACTGCATATGTTTGATTCTTTTTAAAGAACTAATTACTATCAGGGGCTTATTACTTATTAGGGGCTGGAGGGATGGCTCAGGAGTTAAGAGCACTTTCTGCTTTTCCAGAAGACTCAGTTTTGGTCCCTGGCATTCACTTGGCAGCTCAGTCATCTGTAACTCCAGTTCCAGAGGATCCAATGCTCCAAAATAACTCCAAAAATGTGGGCCTATTCCACCTTGTCTGAAGGTCAGAGAGTTTGAGTTATTGTGCTTGCTCAAAGTTGTTGACAACAGCTGTGGCTCCACACCCTGACTCAACGTGCCCCACTGCCCAGGAGAACTGGGTGTTCTGCTAGAGCAGCTCCACGCCAGCAGTTGCATTGGGACTTACATTTGCAATGGGCTAACGAGAAGAGCTGAACTGTAAATTTTATTGTATATTTCAAAATGGCCAAGAGTATAGTTCAAATGCACCCCCTATCAGTACTGGGAATGTTGAACCTCGGGCCTAAAGCATGCTACTGTACAAGAGCTCTACCACTGAACTCTATCCCTAGCCCCCTTTCAGCTTTTCTTATTTAGAGACAGCGATTTACTAAATTGCCCAGGCAGGCCTTGAACTTGTGCTCTTGCTAGATTATAGCCTGTGTGACCAGACTTAGATCTTAAATGTTTCCAACAGAAAAAAAAAAAAAACCCAAACAGCTGGCAGTGGTAGTGCACGCGCCTTTAATCCCAGCACTCTGGAGTTAGAGGCGGGATCTCAGGAATTCAAGGTCAGTCTGGTGTATATAATCAGGCAACAAAGGAGACAGAGACCCACATTGGAGCACCGGACCAAAATCCCAAGGTCCAAATCAGGAGCAAAAGGAGAGAGAGCACGAGCAAGGAACTCAGGACCACGAGGGGTGCACCCACACACTGAGACAATGGGGATGTTCTATCGGGAACTCGCCAAGGCCAGCTGGACTGGGTCTGAATAAACATGGGATAAAACCAGACTCGCTGAACATAGCGGACAATGAGGACTACTGAGAACTCAAGAACAATGGCAATGGGTTTTTGATCCTACTGCACGTACTGGCTATGTGGGAGCCTAGGCTGTTTGGATGCTCACCTTACTAGACCTGGATGGAGGTAGGTGGTCCTTGGACTCCCCACAGGGCAGGGAACCCTCACTGCTCTTTGGGCTGATGAGGGAGGGGGACTTGATTGGGGGAGGGGGAGGGAAATGGGAGGCAGTGGCGGGGAGGAGGCAGAAATCTTTAATAAATAAATAAATTAATAAAAAAAGAGCTAGTTCCAGGACAGCCAGGACAGTTACACAGAGAAATCCTGTCTTGAAAAATAACAAAAAAGATAAACATATTGAAATGAAGTGACTCTTTGCTTGATTTAATAATTCTATTATATAAACATGAAAATTGTACATCATACTCCATAAATATATGCAATTAATAAAATATTTTGCGCACTGTAATTCATGCCTGTAATCCTAGGACGCAAGCAAGAGGTTCTAAAATTTGAGGCCAGCCTGGGCTACATATAGGCTTCGAAACCTAAGCAAATGAATGAATTCAAATTTCCAAAAAAAAAAAAAATCCACCTACAGCTATTGGCTACCATGCTGATTGGCAACACCTCTACATAATTAACAGAATGAGAAAATATCCCAGCCTTAGGGAATGAAGGTCAAGAAGATTCTCTCCACCCAGGCTGCACGCCAGTCCTGCCCAGAGGCTGCGTATCCCTCTCCCCTCCAGCTGCCCTGTGAAGGCCGAGGTCTCCAGCATGACACTCAGTCTCCCCTCCTACCTGCCTGCTCTCCAGGCTCACACTTACCTCTTTTTCCGCCTCTTTGAGCTCAGCTTCTTTCTCTTTGACTCTCTGGACAAACATCTGTCTCATCTCCTCTTCTTTTTTCTGGAGCTCCCCTAGGAACTCATTTCTCTTTGCCTCATATGTCTCCTGTAAACTGTAGATGGGATCCAGTCAATTCCACTGCCTCCCGGGCAAGCCCTGCTCAAGAAAACGGGCCCCAACCATCCTGAGCCCCCCTCATCCTCTCTGCTCTAATTCTAATTCTGACAGAGAAATGTAAAGAGAGGACCATCAGAGGGGAGGGGACAGCTTGGCATACAGCAGCAATATTACAGAGCTACTGAAGGGGGCAGATTCAATGAACTGGATACTACCTTCTAGAAATCTTTCTCTTCCTCCCATCCCCCTCACAGAGGTGAAGTGACTCGCTGAAGATTGTACAGCTATTTAGAGGCAGAGCTGACACCAGAAGCTGGGTCTCCTGTTTCTTCATGTATGGCCTCTCTCCCACTGCACTGCACTGCCAGGCCCTGGCTCTGAAACCACCCACATTGATTCAGCATTTCCTCAAATACTTACTGAGATTACAGCTACCACGTAAGCAAGCAGTGTGAATAGACATGATGCTAGTCACTCGCTCAGCATCTAGCGCCTAGAGCCACCGTGCCTGCCCTAGAGGATCTTGGGATCTATCGGGAGATGCCTGGATCAAGACCATGCCCTGGTCTGTACGTATTATTTTAAAAGAGTCAGAGTCAACTGGGTGAAGACCAGAAGGACTGTGTTCTAAGAACAGAGCAGCATACTTGGATAGGCCTGGGGGAATCACAGGAACCACGGAGGACTGGGAGGGGAGGTTCCTGAGTCTGGAAGAAGAGGACAGGCTTTGGATGCGACATGAAAGAAGTGGACATGTATCCACTGAGTGATTTTCATCACTCAGAACATGGGAAAGTCCACTTGGCTATTCTGGGAAGAAAACTCTGCAACAATTTCAGTATGACAGGGCAGGATCTTCATGTCAGGGCTGGCAGGGAATGGAGAGAGATTTGGACGAGCAACAAAGGCTGCAGATTTCCAGGCCTTGGAAGAAATCAAAGCTGATTCCAGACAGCTGTCCCCTGAGTAACTCATATCTGCTTTCTCAAGTGTATCTTATTGTCTTGGTGAGCATCTCTCTTTGAATCTTTGTGCTTATGATCGACATTAAAGTTTCCGAATATACCCCCAAAAGAAGCTGATTCTAGTTTCTGGCCTGGGCCACCAGCTAGACAGTAGGACATGAACAGCATGGAAGAGGAAGAAGAAGGAGGTGGGCTGGATGGCAGACTATTGGGGATTCAGGTTAGGCATCCATAGCATGTCTGAGGGCAAATGTCTGTGGTGCAGCTGCATCTGTGGGCTTGGAGTTCAATGGTAAAGTGTTAGCTTTGGAGTCATCAGATTCCCGGGTACTAATTAGACCTGTGAGAATAGAAAGAGCCAGAACAAAGAGACAGGAGTATGGAAGAGCTGAGGCCCATGGAAGGAACCCCAAGGAGGCAGCACCATTTAAGGGAGAAAGCTGAAGAAATAAATGAACCTGAAAGTGAGGCCCAGGGGGAGAGGGATGAAGCTGGCCGGGCCCAACACTGGAAGAGCTGAAGGCAGAGGGTATTTCAAGAAAGCCAAATGAACATTCCACATTAAAACCAAAGATAGAAATCAAGCCACGATGAAACTGGCCACCGATCTACAACTGTAGGCCTTAGAGAGAGGCCCTTTTGTGGAGAGCTGGAGGCAGAAGGCAGATTGCAATGGGTTGAGGAAGAAAGTGAGAGAGGAGGAAGAGGAACAGCGGAAACAGAAATGTTTCTTCCCTGTCAGAGACAAAGCTCTTGATGGGAGGAACTAGTAAGAAAGAGCAGAAGTGAAAAAGGGCTTGTGAGGCAGGAGGATTTACCAGCAAGGTGGACAAGGGCAGCGGGAGAGGGGGAAGGTGAAGATGCAGGAACAGAAGACTGGAGGATGGGGCAAAGGAGGGAAGGCCAGGACTGAATGGACAGGTAGAAGTACACCTTCCAGATGCAGAGGAAAACTGTGGAGGTGAAGGAGAGAAACCAAGGGCCTTCCAGCAGAGACAAACTCACTTTCCTCCCTGCTCAGGAGCTCTGGGGCCCTGACCTGCCTCTCCACTGAGGGGTGGGAGGCTGCCATTCCTAAAGCAGACATTCCCCCAACGGACTGCTTGTACAGTGTCCTAGGCCCTCTTTCTGCCACGAACAGGTTCTTTGGGATCCCAGAGGCCATTTGAGTGTCCTTTCCTCCCACAGATATTCCCCCTAGCTTGCTCACGGATGCCTGACATTTCCTGAAAGGAGATGGAGTCATGGTAAAGGGCGACATATGGTAATTCAAAATGCAGGGCTGATGACTCATTGTGTATAGAGAGCAGATGCTTCCACTGGTCTAGGGCTCCTACCTGCGCACTAAGAAGCACTTTAGTTCTGAGATGAGGAAAACACCAGGGGTTATTCATCTTCAGGGGTCCAAACAAAACTCACACTGAAATTCTTAGGCAGTGGGAGAAGAGCCTCAGGCAGGTCACCAATACAAGCAAAGTGGCTGTGGTCCTATTCTGTGTTTTCCTATTTCTTTACTTAGTGCTAGCAATGAACTTGGGGCTTGTGCATGCTAGGGAAGCACATACTGGAAACCTGTCTTAAGCAACAGGAGAACCAGATGAAGAAAGTGGGAACAGAGGACAGTTCCTAACTGCCACCCAGTAGAACGAAAGCCCAGCTCAGGGTCTATGGAAGCGGGGGGGGGGAGGCAAAGCAGTGAGTAGTCAGCAAAGTGTTCTCTGGACCCCTGCCCTTCCCTGCTTTTCTGGCAGATGTGCAACACTGGTGACTCAGGAATTCCCTTGGGCGCCCCTAGCTAACCCCTACACCTCTCCTCCCCAGGCAGATTATTGTCTAGGCAATGTTTTCTGAACTGGGCCAGGCAGGCCTGGCCTGGCGTGAGCGGTACCTGAATGGTTTGCTGTCAGGGTCGGTGTCCTTGAAGCCCATCTCCTCCAGTTTACAGCGGTGGTACAATTCATAGTGCCGGGTGTGGGTCTGCTCCCGCAGATCCTCCATGTTGACCCGAATCAGCATCTCCCGCAGCTTCACAAAGTCGCAGTGGGCCTCATTTTCAACTGCATAGCGGGGATTGGGGCATTGGAAGTATATTGAAAGGAAGGCCAGCAGAAGAAGAAATGGATGCAGTGAGAAGTAAAGTGTCTAATGGTGACATCGCCTCACAGCCTCTTTATACGGCTCCTACACATTTAACCTAATTCCACTTTCTGTGAAAATGGAAATGAAACATTATGAAAGGGCAATACTACTGTGCAAATATCTGAGAACTTTCATTAAGGCCTCCGCACAAATTTACCAAGCAGACTTGCGCAGAAATATCTTCTCTACATTGCTTTGCAGATGACGATGCATGCACCTCCATCTAGCCATCCACCCAATAAATATTAGTGGAATCTGTTTCCAGTATTCTTTCTGGCCCAGATAATTCAGAAGCAAAGCCTGGGGGCCACACTTTTAGGAACCTGCAGCTCAGTGGGAAAGCGCATGTAAACAGAACAATATAACACAATGCCAAGATTACAAATGTGGAGGCATGGCTGCAGTGCAGTAAAAGCCCAGAAGAGGGGGACCTGTGAACTCCAGGAGAACAAGGGCTTCCCAAAAGATAAAATCTCTTGGATGACGCTGGAAGGAAGAGTCGAATTTATCAGGCAGATAATAGAACATGATCTTCACAAGGCCTCCGAAGGCTAGGCAAGGGCACATAGTGAGCAAGTTGCAGAGTAAGGTTTCAAATCCCGGTAGTGTAGGGGCGAGGCAAAGACCATAGACGGCTTTCCAGAGAGCAAGGGCAAAGAACTAGGGTAGGAAAGGTGAGAGGGAAAAGGAGGGGCAGACCTCAGGTGTGGCTCATGTGGGTGGTAGAAGCTCCTGAGGAGGTGTTTTACCAAGGGTGGATAATGGCCTGACCACTGCAATCTGAAGGGGAAAGTAGATAACCGCTTCTTTGCCTTGTGGGCAAAGGTCTGCATTTTGGGGAGTAGACAACAAGGTGAGTGATGTGGACTAAATCACAGCAGAGTGAACTTCTGGCCAGAGCCATGCTGCAAGCGGGACTCTAATAGGATGTCTCCGGGCTCCGATCCATTGCGTTGTACTATTAGAGATGGTCAGATATGGTCATCAGAAGTATTTGTCCAAAGTCCAGAGTGGTCCATGTACTCTTTCTGCTTAAGGTCCCTTACATTCAGTACTGACCTATATCTATTGCCATAGAACATAAACTAATATAAAAAGCTGCAGCAATAAAATAATTCCTTGGGAGCAAGCTATATGTATCTGCTTCTCCAGCTCAAGACAGTGACCCCTAATCAGGAGGAATGATTCTAGATCCAGGCCTGGTGGTACACACCTGTGATTTCAGCACTTAGGAGGTAGAGGCTGGAGGGTCAGGAGTTCAAGGCCAGCTTCAACGACACAGTGTTGCAAGGCCAACCTGGGCTACACAAAACTATTTTTTTAAGTATATAAGAAAGGAATAATTCTAAGTCTTTTTTAGGCTTCCAAGCAGTGTTCAACTGCTTCCTCATCCAGAAAAAATGTCAACTAGGGAGTTCAAATCAAACAAACAACAACAGAACTCAGTTTGGGATAAGAACAGCATAGTCCCAGTTGGAGGAAGGAAGTCACTGGAAGTCTGTCTGCTGGTTTGTCTCGTCCCACCTCAAGTCTTTCAGGCCACAGACTCCAAAGGTGTGGCTCTTGGTCCAGAAGCCTTTTCCCGGTGTTCCTAGTGTAACATCCTGTGGTGGTGGTTTGAATGGAATTGGCCCCCATAATCTCATAGGGAGTAGCACTATTAGGCGGTGTGACCTTGTTGGAGTAGGTGTGGCCTTGTTGGAGAAAGTGTGTCACTTTGAGGTCTCATATATGTATCTCAGTTCACTTCCTGTTGCCCATGGGTCAAGATGTAGGACTCTGAGCTCCTTCTCTAGCACCCTGTCTGCCTATACCCTGCCATGTCCTGCCATGATGATAATGGACTAATCCTCTGAGCCTGGAAGTCAGCCCCAATTAAATGCTTTCCTTTGTAAACGTTTGCCATGGTCAAAACAAACAAGAAACAAAACAAACACAAAGAGTTGCCATGGTCATAGTGTCTCTTCACAGCAATAAAACACTGACTAAGACACGTCCCCAGTGCAAATGGCGGAGAAGAGCAAAACTTTGCGTAGCTCTGCCAACCAGTCTTCTGCTACCTATGGGACACCCAGACAGGGGATGGAGCTCAACAGTAACATTTTCATCTAGCAGGCATGAGGCCTGACTTCCGTCTCTGACATTGTAGCAAAGAAGAACCGAGGAGGTAGCTTAGTGGCAGAGCATTCGCCTAGCATGCATGCTAGACATGGCCCCGAGTGCCAGTCTCAGCAGCACAGAAGGAAAGCACTCCAGCTACTGTGGGTGGATTGCTGTGCCTTCAATCATACCAGCCTTTGGATGAGAGGTGGGCAACTCACTATCAACTTTCATCTTTGCTTCTTTTAAACACGGTCTCCCGAAGCTGCCTTTGAACTCACGATCCTCTCTTTTCAGTTGCCCCCACCTCCCAGGACTGGACTTACAGATGGATGCCACCCTTCTTGGGTGCCCACTCTCCTTCATTTGCTCAAGGATTGGGAAGAATTTACAGAGAAACTGTCAGTCACGGCCTGGTTTATAGCTACAGACTCAGGGCCCCCAAACCTCTGCCCCTGGCAGAGTCCTAGAGTTCATGTTACCGCCTGAAGAGAAGCGTATGTGTGAGACAGGCTGCGAAAAGAATTGTCATGCATGTATACAGTATATGACTAATTCTTTAAAATTATGAAATAAGCATATCTATAAAAGAGTACATGAAATAGGTATGTGCAATTTAAAGAAATTTAAAATTTGTAAATATCCCCACAACTGAAGCGAATATTACTATTACCTTGGAAGCCCTGCTGACCTCTTTTTGATCTCATGCACCTCTCTCTACTCCCTGCCTCCTCTGGCAATAAAACTGAAGCACTATCCTGACAGGGTTTAGCAGTCATTTGTTTATTTTTTTATTTTAATTTGTTTAGTGTGAGGGGGTGTGGGTGTGCACTGTGCACTTGTGAGGGCGCTGGTGTTTGCGCGAAGGTCAGAGGACAAGCTTTAGAAATCAGCTCTCTCCTTCCACCGTGCGGGCTCCAGAGATCAGGCCATGAGGCTTGGAGGAAAGTGCCTTTTCTTTGCCCCCACAAGACATCACACTGGTCCCGTTTTCTCAGATTTATTTATTTTATTCGTGTGTGTGTGTGTATGTATGTGTGTGTGTGTGTGTGTGTGTGTATGTAGGGTGTCTGCAGAGGTCAGAAGAAGGTTCTGATCCCCTGGAGCTGGAGTTAGAGGAGGAAGGTGAGCCTCGTGGCGTGGGGGTTGGGAACAGAGGTCAGGTCCTCTGCAAGAGTAAACAGGTACTCTTTACCTCTGAGCCATTGCTCCAGCTCTCATTGTTTTTGTGTGTGTTTAATGAAAATGCTTTCATCATTCATCACTCATGCATGAATTTATCACAATATATATCATGTTATTTTAGCCTACTTTTGGAATTCATATAAATAGAAACCTACCATATGCATTATTGTGTGATTTATTTCGTTTAGCACTGTGTTTCTGAGAGCCATCCACATAGATGTAACTGAAATTCATTAACTTTCATTGCTGTCTAAGACCCCATTATATGACCATTTTACAAATTACCCCGGCTATTTTGATGGACACCTCATTGTTTGTAATAATTTATCATTATAAATAACACTGCTATGAACATTCTCGTGCCTCTCCTAATGACACACTCACTTCTTTTTTTTTTTTGGTTTTTCAAGACAGGGTTTCTCTGTGGTTTTGGAGCCTGTCCTGGAACTAGCTCTGTAGACCAGGCTGGTCTCGAACTCCCAGAGATCCACCTGCCTCTGCCTCCCGAGTGCTGGGACTAAAGGCATGCGCCACCACCGCCCGGCCGACACACTCACTTCTATAGCCCTTTCTATGTTGTGCCAAGTCCATTCGTCTTTTGCTGTTTCAGGGTGGGGTATAAGGGAGTACTTTCTCTATTAGACAAAAGGAGTCTGCTCCTATCACAGAATCTGGGCACAGGGCCAGAGCTTGCTGCTAGTGACCCCTGTGGCTGTTTGAGACCCACACTGAGTAGCGGAGGCTGAGACAAGCTAGGAGCTCGGCATATCGTGGCAGAAGCAGCATATACACAAAGAAGGCGCTAAGTGCAGGCCCTCTGCACAGACTCACCCTGCACAGTCCCCCAAGGATACTGCCGCGCCCTCATCATCTTGTTGCCTATCTTCACTTCTTCTGTGCTGCCAACGACAGCAAACGGCAGGTGGGCCTAGAACAGAGGCAAACAAGCACTCAGAACTCCAGCAGGACGGCAGCGAATGCCCCACAATACAACTGTGGCTCGTCTCCAGGACTTTGGGTCGTCTCTCTGAGGCACCACTCACTGCAGCAGCATTGAGAGGCATTTATTAAGCTTCATAGCCAGGCAGGGATGAGACCTAGTTCTTGACTCTGTTCCGGATAATAATGGCATGGTTGAAAACACAGGGAACGAACAGGAACTTAAGTGGATATATGACCTAGCAAGCTATGCTCACCAGTCACCATCGCTGGGGGTGGGTTCATTAGCATCACAGGGGCTGACTGAGTACAGAATCTGGCATCATTGTCTTTCCAGAGTTTGAAAGCACAGTCTAAAACCACTGAGCTGGACTGTCTTTGTTCTTGCCCACCCTAGATAAGTGTTTACACTGATCCCATGAACCTAGAGGGCAAATCAGGAAATCTTCACCCACAAGCTCTGAGGGTGCACTATGAGGGACATAAAAAAAGTAGAAGACCCTTCCTTGTACCTTGGGAGCTTGGACTCTCATTGACAAAGCCTAAGTTACAGTCTCAAAATCCTATTAGACAGGATGTGACCAAGGGCTAAGAGTAGGTACTTCACAAATACTCCTTGAATAGAGGCTGTCAGAGTAGGGAAGAAGATGAGAGGGAAAATTCAAGCAGGGTCAAGAGATCGGTGCTTGCAGGAGAGATGAGGACCAGTGAATGCAGAGGGCTAGACTGAAGGAGGCGGTGAGAACAAAAACCATGCTGTATCATCATCTGCTTGCATCCTGGCCTCTCAGCTTTAAGTGATGCAGGAGAGCTGTCTGTGAAGTGGGAGGCACTTCTCTAGGTTCAAGTAGGGAAAAAAAACGCGAGAAGAAAATAAAAGCATAGGAAATGCCAGTCTTCCCTTGGGCCTGTTATTTTTATCATCAAGGGACCCTGCCAGAATGACAGGGTCACTTGCTTCCTCGCTTCCTCAAACTGCTGTCATTTGATTCCTCCAGCTCCCTGACTATTCTTAAACACACAGGCCCCACCAAACTCAATTCCAAGGCCACATAAAACCTCCCACAGCACACTCCTTTGTCACTGGCATCAAAGATGGTTCTGGAAAGTACAGGCAAACAGATCATTTCCAAGGGCCAGAAATATAAACCTTAGATAGTATCAGAGAAAGCGAGGACAGAGAGCTTAAAGGAGTCCTGCATGTCCTAAACTCCCATGCTAGGTCTTCCCGGTAAGTGGTGATGCCACCACACCTTGGATGCCAGCCTTCTTGGGCCAACTAGGATGGTTGACATTGGGTGTCCTGGCTAAAGAGCATCTGCTGGAAGTCAACGAAACACGACAGGCCAGGAGTCACTGGAAACAAGCTCTGACCATGATGCTCTGGAAAGACATGTGGCTATGACAACCAGAATGGAATCAAGCAAGACAGAGGGGAGGTTTAAATTTCAGTCACACTACAAGGTGCTACCCATGATATCCCTGTTCAGTGGAGGCCAGACTTTCTCTTAGTTTTTCAGGTCCCTGCTGGAGGCTGCAAGGTGATGCTTCATACATGAGGCCCCGGGAAGGAGACTTTTGATAGCTCCAGGATGAGGTCCCTGCTGACACACAATGAGCAGACTAATAAGTCTGTGACTCTGCCTAAACCTATGATGAGAGACACCAAGATATAAGGTCTCCCAGATGCAGAGCACTATCAAAATACATAGCGTGTCTTGGGAGGCTGGCCCTAGAGTCACTACTTCGTCCACTTTGTACAGCTACAACAAAATACCTGAGACTAAGTAATGTCTACAGACATAAACAGACTTTCCGTAGTTCAAGAGGCTGGACATCTAAGCTCAAAGTAGTAGCACCTTTGGGTGTCTGATGAGGGTCTTCTTGTTACATCTTCCCATTGCAGAAGGTAGAAAAGCTAGCTAAATTCTACACATAAGTCTCTCGTATAAAGGCCCTTAATCTCATTAGTGAGGGAGCAGACCTTATGGCCCAACTAACTGCTAAAGGCCCAAACTCTTCTGAAAAGAGGTTGATTTTGAATTGTTCATGTGCATGTCTATGTGGGCATGTGCATGTCTGTATGTGGGCATGTGCATGTCTGTATGTGGGCATGTGCATGTCTGTATGTGGGCATGTGCATGTCTATGTGGGCATGTGCATGTCTATGTGGGCATGTGCATGTCTGTATGAGGGCATGTGCATGTCTGTATGTGGGCATGTGCATGTCTGTATGTGGGCATGTGCATGTCTGTATGTGGGCATGTGCATGTCTGTATGAGGGCATGTGCATGTCTGTATGTGGGCATGTGCATGTCTATGTGGGCATGTGCATGTCTGTATGTGGGCATGTGCATGTCTATGTGGGCATGTGCCTGTCTATGTGGGCATGTGCATGTCTGTATGTGGGCATGTGCATGTCTGTATGTGGGTATGTGCATGTCTATGTGGGCATGTGCCTGTCAATGTGGGCATGTGCATGTCTGTATGTGGGCATGTGCATGTCTGTATGTGGGCATGTGCATGTCTGTATGTGGGCATGTGCATGTCTATGTGGGCATGTGCATGTCTATGTGGGCATGTGCATGTGTGTATGTGGGCATGTGCATGTCTATGTGGGCATGTGCATGTCTGTATGTGGGCATGTGCATGTCTATGTGGGCATGTGCATGTCTATGTGGGCATGTGCATGTCTATGTGGGCATGTGCATGTCTGTATGTGGGCATGTGCATGTCTATGTGGGCATATGCATGTCTGTATGTGGGCATGTGCATGTCTGTATGTGGGCATGTGCATGTCTGTATGTGGGCATGTGCATGTCTGTATGTGGGCATGTGCATGTCTGTATGTGGGCATGTGCATGTCTGTATGTGGGCATGTGCATGTCTGTATGTGGGCATGTGCATGTCTGTATGTGGGCATGTGCATGTCTATGTGGGCATGTGCCTGTCTATGTGGGCATGTGCATGTCTGTATGTGGGCATGTGCCTGTCTATGTGGGCATGTGCATGTCTGTATGTGGGCATGTGCATGTCTATGTGGGCATGTGCATGTCTATGTGGGCATGTGCATGTGTGTATGTGGGCATGTGCATGTCTATGTGGGCATGTGCATGTCTGTATGTGGGCATGTGCATGTCTATGTGGGCATGTGCATGTCTATGTGGGCATGTGCATGTCTGTATGTGGGCATGTGCATGTCTATGTGGGCATGTGCATGTCTGTATGTGGGCATGTGCATGTCTGTATGTGGGCGTGTGCATGTCTGTATGTGGGCATGTGCATGTCTATGTGGGCATGTGCATGTCTATGTGGGCATGTGCATGTGTGTATGTGGGCATGTGCATGTCTGTATGTGGGCATGTGCATGTGTGTATGTGGGCATGTGCCTGTCTATGTGGGCATGTGCATGTCTGTATGTGGGCATGTGCATGTCTGTATGTGGGCATGTGCATGTCTGTATGTGGGCATGTGCCTGTCTATGTGGGCATGTGCATGTCTGTATGTGGGCATGTGCATGTCTGTATGTGGGCATGTGCATGTCTATGTGGGCATGTGCATGTCTGTATGTGGGCATGTGCATGTCTATGTGGGCATGTGCCTGTCTATGTGGGCATGTGCATGTCTGTATGTGGGCATGTGCATGTCTGTATGTGGGCATGTGCATGTCTGTATGTGAGCATGTGCATGTCTATGTGGGCATGTGCCTGTCTATGTGGGCATGTGCATGTCTGTATGTGGGCATGTGCATGTCTGTATGTGGGCATGTGCATGTCTGTATGTGGGCATGTGCATGTCTATGTGGGCATGTGCATCTCTGTATGTGGGCATGTGCATGTCTATGTGGGCATGTGCATCTCTGTATGTGGGCATGTGCATGTCTGTATGTGGGCATGTGCATGTCTGTATGTGGGCATGTGCAGGTCTGTATGTGGGCAGGTGCAAGTCTGTATGTGGGCATGTGCATGTCTATGTGGGCATGTGCATGTCTATGTGGGCATGTGCATGTCTGTATGTGGGCATGTGCATGTCTGTATGTGGGCATGTGCATGTCTGTATGTGGGCATGTGCATGTCTATGTGGGCATGTGCATGTCTATGTGGGCTGTGCATGTCTGTATGTGGGCATGTGCATGTCTATGTGTGTAGGGATAAGTCCCGCCCCTTAAGGGGCGTGTTCGCCTCGGGCTAATGTCTGCCTATAAATTTGGCGAGCAAGCTCCGAGCTCTCACTTCTGCTTTCCTGGTCTCCGCGGGAACGGTGGTTCTGTAAGTCTATTTCTACATTAAAGCTATATATATATATTTTTACACTCTGTCTGCATTCATTTACGCCGTTACATTTTGGCGTCCAACGTCGGGCTATTTTGCCCCCGACTCAAGCGGGTAGCCCGCTAGCTAACACAGCACCCTTCCCGGTGCTGTTTTTCAGTTCGTGACTCCGGCCCCAGTGCCGAGTCCGAGACACACTCGGCGACACAGGCCCATTCTGCCTGCCTTGCTAAGTTTTGCAGCGGAACCCCACTGCCTGAATTAGCAGAAGCTCAAGTACTTGCGGTTTTGCAACAAAAGCTGCCACAGCGTCAGATTTGGTCTGTTACAAAGTGACTTGGCCGGTTGTGGTGGCCCACGCCGGTAGGATTTGCTGAAGGAGGCAGAGGCAGGAGGATCACAAGTTTAAGGCCGGCCAGGCAGTGGTAGAGCACGCCTTTAATCCCAGCACTTGGGAAGCAGAGGCAGGCAGATCTCTGTGAGTTTGAGGCCTGCCAGGCCTTGGTAGTGCACGCCTTCAATCCCAGCACTTGGGAGGCAGAGACAGGCGGATCTCTGTGAGTTCAAGGCCAGCCTGGTCTACAAGAGCTAGTTCTAGGACAGGCTCAAAAAACACAGAGACCACCACTGGCAGGAACCGATCATTGCAGGTAAAAAAATTTTCTTTTATAAATAAAATGTCTGAACACATTACTGTTCAAGAATTTAATGATTTTTT